CTAAAAATAGTGTCAATGCTGAAACACTAAAATAAAAAAGAAACTTCAATGTTACATTAAGATAAACGAACTCCTCACAGCAAACCCCCCTGGCAGAGGCAGCTTCAAGGCTCAAGATATACGAAGGCATTTTATGATATTTTTAAATTACACTATTCTGAAAAAGTATAAATTAAGATAAATTCATACTCCTAACAATGAAATGTGTTTCTTCGTGTACAGTCTTATACGTACTAAAAACATCAATTTTTTGTTTTTTTTTCCCTTTCATTATTTTTCCTTTCATTATTTTTGCTTTCATAAACTAAACATTTATTAGTACTACTGTATTAATTTTTATTAATTTAAAAGTAATCACAAAACAAATTTACAACTTTTTGAATTATTCAATAAGGTGAATTACAGTACATTATATGACGAAAAGACCACATTTATGAACACTGTTTTCAGGAATATTTTGTAGCCTCTAGATAATTACTGTATTCCGTAAAGGATGTTATCAGCCAGGATTTTGGTGGATTGAATTGTGTTTATTAGCTATGACGAACTTCCTTGACTGATGGAAATTACATATAACCACAACAGAGTGTAAGTTGTGATATTTCTGCTGCGATTCTCTCGATACAGGAAAAACAAAAACGCCATCGTCACCGTTATATCTATTTTGTGTTCCTTGAACATAAGGAACTGTATGCCAACTAGTTTTAAAATCAAATGTTTACCCAAATGTGAACTAAGCACTCTTAATAGTACCAAATTAAACGGCATAGGAGAAACCATTTAATATATAGTTTAGCTGCTGTGTGGTGGCATTCCCTGTGGACGTCATTAAATCTGGGACTTTTCACCGGCTTATGAGCTCTGGTGATGAAAATTAAATGTCCTATGAAAAATGTTTTCTTAAGTGTGGTCATCTGTTTCAAATTTAGCATAAGGAAACTAAATATACACATTTATATTTTTCTGTACAGTGCTGTATGTTGACAATTTATCTGACACTCTTCTCCATTCAAGAGCCTTGAATTTTGAATACTTGTTATATATATTAGCCTCATCTAGCTATATTGTAGTAACTACCATATTGGTTGCTTTTCTGTGTAATGTTGGAGTCGGAACTACGGTGGTTATAACCATGGTCAAATATAACTTTCTACATTTATATGTTTCATATTAACGCTTTTAATTTATGTACCATCAAAACTATCGGATTATACCAATGATAATGTGCTCTCATATACTGGCCCTACAAAAGTGACCTTATTATATTTTACAATATTAAATTAAGTATCTAATATGATCAACACTTTCCAAGGACCATGGCAAGTAAAGCCATTCTTACATACATTCCTCCCTCAGCTTGGCGGAAGTAAGCAGCTCGAGGGTCCGTGTCAAAATCAGTAGATATTTCTTGGTTTCTAGGCAATGGGTGAAGAACGATCATACGCCGCTTGGCTCGAGTCATCAGATGAGGAGTAACAATGAAATGCCCACAAGCCTGTCAATTATATAATTCTTATGTAAGAATAAATGGATTTCAAACAAATACTTAAGGATAACAGAAATATATGCATACAAATTATAGCACAGTAACTGTTTTAAGTAAATTTGTTTTCCAATTATGACAACAAATTATTTAATAGTATAATGCCAATCTACAGTACTTGGTAATTCTTCAGTCTTAAGAGCTTACCCTTTCATAATCCTCAAGAGTGACGAACCTTTCCTTTTGAATACGTGTCATGTACAAGACATCAGTATCAGGAAGAGCTGCTTCCAAACTATTGAATTCCTCCTGATAAAAAAAATAGGCGTGTTTAAAAAAAGCAATGACATGACATGAAAATACAGAACATGACAGAAAATACAACAAAATTTAGGAGATGGAGAATTCAGTATTGACACTTTTAGTTGTCGGTGACGGATATTGCATCCATAAATAACTTTCGGATGTCCAGCGGTGACACCACCGCTTTTGTGTCCAAAATTAAAATATTTGTTAAAGGGTCTAATTTTTCCTGATCATTACGGGACGTGTTTTAAATGTGCTCCAATGTCTTCGCATTATCTGTGATGGCCCATGTGAGCCATTATATGGCATCACAGCACCACCTGCCATGCGATAGGCCCGTTGTTAACGTGTCGTCTCTCGTGACTGCTTGCGGCCTTCCCTCGCATCCAACATGTGTGCCTGTACAGTACCAGCAATTTTTCCTTGGCTATATTTGTTACTGCCTTTATGCACCACATTTACTCCAAGAGGGAGGGAGGGAGGGAGAGGGAGATAAGGAAGGGAGGGAGGGAGGGAGGGAAATCAGGAAGAAAGGGAGGGAGGAAGATAAGAAAGGGAGGGAGGGAGGGAGGGAAGGAGGGGAAAGGACCATTAGATTTTTCTTAATATAGAACTTTAAAATACATACTGGAATATTATATACCAACAGAATAATAAATAAGGTTCAGGTAGGTAGTTCCTTATTAATTAAAATGGAGGAGTTAGGGTTGGGTCTTTGCCCATTATGTTATAGATGGATGTCTAAAGTCAGTAGCTTTTCTTGAAGGGCTTCCAAATACTTATAAGCTTCCTTTGATCTTCAGGAGCTTCAGGTTGCATGCCAGCAACACAGGGAAGTTATCTTGAGGTTATCTTGAGATGATTTTGGGGCTTAGCATCCCTGAGGCCCGGTCCTCAACCAGGACTCCTTTTTGTTACACTCCCCTCCCCCCCCCCAGGAAGCAGCCCGTAGCAGCTGTCTACCTCCCAGGTACCTATTTATTGCTAGGTAACAGAAGCATCAGGGTGAAAGAAACATGTTGCCCATTTGTCTCTGCCTCCACCGGGAATCGAACCCGGAACCTCAGGACTACGAATCCGAAGCGCTGTCCACCCAGCTGTCAGGCGCCCTATATGCAACATATGCTATCTGGAACAGCACTCGAGTCTTGCAATAAGAGGTCATATGCTTCTTGATGCTACATTGAATACACACTAAGTCATTTCAAGTGCACTGAACATAAGACCTCGTACAGCTGGACTATTCTAACTTCCCAGATCATGGCAGGAGCACCAAGGAACTATCCACTGATAGTATTGCCCAAGAAAGTTGCCTTCTTTTCCTGAGAGGTCTGCTGGATAATATATTGTCTTAGAAAAAAATGAGATCTTGATATATATGGGAGAACACATGGACACAAAGAAATTAGGATATCCACGTGCTAGACCTGGCTCCACTATATAGATATCCTATGCAGATTTATCAGTGCATAAAAAGTGTGTTTCCAGTATGGAAGTATGGAACATACTTAGTATGTTCCACAATAGTATGGAACTTATACTTAGGGAAGTATAAGTTCTTGCAGCATATGATCACAATCAGCACATTAAAGGTACTGTCAGTTTATGCACTTTTACAGGAATTGCTTAAACATGACAGTACCATCCTAAAATTCACTAACATTGCTTGTACATATTAGATATACAGAATGTACACAGTCACATAAGCTATATGTAATATTATATTTGACAAATATTGAACATATAAATGCTGTACAGCACTAAAGACATTTAAATATTGTACAATGTATGTATTTTTATGCGTATTATATTACAGTCAATAATATACTGTACATAATGTGTGGAAAGTATAATCTGTATGTGTGGAAAGTCATACATTATTGTACACTAATCAGTTCAGTAAATTGGTAATAGATAATCACAAACCTGGTGAATGCCTTGAGATGCTGCATACTGAGTGATGTAGTCGGGCATCCCAAGACCTGGAGGTGAAACGTAACGAAGCTGCACATTGTACAATGTCAAGAGTCGAGCCAGGGAGTGCACTGTTCGCCCATGCTTCAAATCGCCCACCTGAAATAAAATTGGTAAGCAAAAAGTGTTTACACTGTATGTATAGGTAACTTCTTCAAAAGTCTTATCTTTCTTTCTTCAGGACTTAACATAATTTCTGCCCTTAAAATCACTCATTTGCTCCATTAGGTAGTGTTGCACTCTTCCCAAGACATTGTCAAATTCCAGCATGATCAGTCTTACCTTCTCTTTCCTAGTGCAGTAGGTATTGTTACAAACTGTTCCTACCATGTCATTAATGAGAAAACATTGAGAGGAAAATTGTCAACCCAGCCAAGAATAAATCAAAAGGTTCATTTAATTACAGTACAATATATTCATGTATATCCTCCCATAAGTACTTCATTTCAAACTGATTTCTAGGCATTCTAGCTAAGCGTTCTGCCTAATGTATTCCAAATTCCAACTGTTTAACTACTTTGACACTGAAAAAGTTCTTTCTAACATCCCTGTGGGTCATTTGGCTACTACATTTCCACCTGTGTCCCCGTGTTTGCATACCACCTGTGTCCCCGTGTTTGCATACCACCTGTGTCCCCGTGTTTGCATACCACCTGTGTCCCCGTGTTTGCATACCACCTGTGTCCCCGTGTTTGCATACCACCTGTGCAAGTGTGCACGGGATTGAAAGCCTCCTTGTTTAGATTCTTAAATGATGTTCTTATGTTTGCTAACTTTCCATATGCTGCTGATGTTGTTATCTCGTTCATATGAGCAGTATATATGACTGGCATATGAATATGAGAGCAGATAATTACATTAGGGACCAAATGAGCAACACAGCTCAGAAATAATATTGATGTGATCTTGTGTTCATAATGTGTTCTTGTTAGAGGTAATTTAATAGTGTAGAAGATTTTAATTTCATATCCATAAAATAACCATTCTGCATGTCTTTAGATTCCACTGAAATTGGATAAGTAAGTTTCCATTGCACACAACTGTTCAATTTATCTCAAATATCTAGTCACAGTAATTATTTTGAGGTCAGACAATACTTGCACAAACCTTATCTCCAGGTGTAAGTAGAAAAAAATCTTACCATGGTGATAATGAGACCGTTGACAGTACCAATCTCTTCCCTAATGGCAAACACATCTAGTAATGCCTGAGTAGGATGCTCTCCAACACCATCACCAGCATTAATCACGGGACGACGACTGACAGCTGCTGCGCGCTGGAAAGTCATTATATAATAATTAGTTTCACATAAGCAATATATGCTTTACATTAAAATCTTAAAAGTACTATAATTAATTTAAATTCTTTAATTCATGTAACTAGCATCATAAGTTTTAGGGAGGGGTCTTCCTTGGTAATTCCCCAAGCTATCCAGCTGGTACGCTCCTAATCCAGGATACCATACCAGGCTCAAAACAAAGCTCCTAATCCAGGATACCATACCAGGCTCAAAACAAAGCTCCTAATCCAGGATACCATACCAGGCTCAAAAATTCAAGTTTCTACAAGTAGCCAGTATCACAATCTGCCCCATTCCCCTCAACAAAGGTAAAGGGAGTCTGGGGTTACTAGACAAATCACAGTAACCTGAAGGAAAACCCACCAGAGGGCACCTGGAAAGACACGGCAAAAAGCACCTGCATGGACAAAATTGGTGGCCCTGGTATGAACATGCACAGCACCGAAAAACTACTGCTAGTTAACACTAGCTTGCCACCAAGTAGATAGCAGCCTTGGCCAACCAAGACCCGACCAGCTGGCTTTCTCAATAATACGCCTGATGCTACTGAATTGACGGGCAAGGACTGAGCTTGAAGAGAATAAAGCTGGACTTCGAACTCTAGCACAGTGCAGGAGTCTTTGTGTTTATTTCTCAGGTTTCATATTTTAGCCTTCCTGATGCATGTGCCCAAACCTGCATTTTGCCAAGGTGGCATGTGTTTTGTTCTTTTCTCGAGTTACCCCTGCTTTCGGTCTTCTGAAAGCTTCTTTCAATCTACCGAGACAGTTTTGCAACCCACTATTGGGTGTTTACCTCCTTTTGAAAGGTCCTGTTCCAGGTACTGCACATGCTTTAGTTGCTCTGCAAGTCTGGTGGTTGGGGTATGCAGTAGTAAACTTTTTCAGGGTTGTACTGTGTGCGAGTGTTCCAGCCCTAGGTTCTTTTGCAGCTTCACCTTCCCTTTCCTTGGTTTTATAGGTCATGGGGTTGGTGTGGGTTTGGGCACCCTGCCAGACTACGAGCCATAGTTCGTAGTCCTTTTTGGGTTGACAGCTTTCTGGTTCCTTGTCAGCTGTTGAAGTTTTGTTCGAGGGCCCTAGAACATGGTTTGTCTTGTCTGTACCCTAGAACAGGTCTAGCCACTTCCTTCCATTATGTGAGTGCTCTTGGTTACTCGTTGGCCTTTGAGTACTTTAGTGGCTACCTGATTTTGTCTGAGTTTTTCTCATTAGAATTTGTGATACTTGTGTGCACTTCTACATTTCCCTGGCAGTACACCAATGTTTCTCCTGTAGGGCTGTTGCCACTGCCCTCTTCAGCCACTGGGATTTTATTCCACTGTCTCTATCCCACCTTCCTTTTCTGTGTGGTTCTTCTTCCCAGTTGCTTTGGCTTTTCACTAGGGACCTGATCCTTTAGACTCATTCTCCTCTGGTCAGCTCATTCTTTTCTTGATCATTTTTGTTGTAGGATCGGGGAGTTTTATGATTTTGTCTGAAAGTGCTTTTTTTATTCTTTTCTGGTGGTTGTTTTTTGCGACTCCTGCTGTCACCTTTGTTTCTCGTTGAGTATTAGTTGCTTTCCAGAGAGGCTCTCTTGGTCTGATGCTTGCTTGCTCTAGCTGGGGGTTCCTCATGTTCTGTCTGGTGGTGGGGTTAGCCATTTCTCTAGGGGGTGGGGTGGGGTGGGGTCACCCATTTGGTTCAGATGGTTGCCTTATTTGTATTTCTGGCATGCTTGAGCCCGGATGTCAAAGGTGGTTCGATGGGTGGTTGCCTTTAACCTACCTGTTGCTTGTTCCCAGGTCAACATCATCCAAAATTCAGCAGTGTTCTTTGCTTTCTTCTCTTCTATGTCTTGGGTGAAATTTAAGGGCTCGTGGACTCTGGCGTTCAGCTTGGTCCCTGTTATTATCTTGAGATGCTCATTCAAGTTACTTGTGTTACCCACTTCCTCCTACAGTGCAACCCTGTTTTTGTTATTGCCTATGGTGAGACAGCTCAGGGAGCCACCGAGGGGAAGCCCTCTCAGAAATCCAGTGTTTTAATGTAATGAAATAATTTTTTACTGGTGGGTCCCTTGGCGGCTTTCCATTCCTACCCTTTCCTGCTCCTGTAATATTCATGGGTTGTTTCATAGGCAGTTTGTGGAGGTAGCTGGCTAGTCGGTATCTTCAGGTGGCTGGGGTTGCTATCTGGTGGCAAGCATGTGTTAGTAATTATAATAATAATAATTTGCTTACTGCTAAGAAATGAGTTCATGTTTAAGGGTTGCCAATGTTGTCCATGCAGTGGCTTATTTTGTTGTGTTCTACCTTTCCTGTACATTTCCTTCAAATTAATGAACTGTGATCTAGTTCCCACAGACTCTAGTTTCTATTGAGGTGGACAGACCCTGGTACAGTACTGGTTTCTGGTAGGTGCTCGTGCATCTAAGAACTTGGTTTGGGTTTACCAAGTGGGTAGTTCGAGGAGCCATAAAGACACCATCAAAAATGGGCTATTCATTACATTCAATGCTTGGTTTTATTTTAACATTCATCCCTAAGCTCATGTTAGTATATATAATTTGTAAACATCATTGTCTGGAAAAAGGGTCCCGGTAGTACAGTTGGGTTTGTTCGTGACGCACAATCAAGAATTCCGGATTCGAATCTAAGGTGGGACAGAAATGGCTGGTAACATTTCCTTTTGCCTAATGCCTCCGTTCACCTAGCAGTGAGTAGGTACTCAGGAGTTGGTCAGCTTGGTGTGGGGTTGCATCCTGGGCAGGGTCAGTAATTCGGACTGGGGGGAGGCTTAATATAAGTCTACCATGTATGAATACTCTTCCTGTACCCTGACAATGAATTACAGTATTATTATTACATCAATATACATTATTATTACCTTGCTTCTTAAGAATACACGCCACTGTCTAATAGTCTATGTTACCTTACAGTAATGTTTACCTTGCTTCTTAAGAATACACGCCACTGTCTAATAGTCTATGTTACCTTACAGTAATGTTTACCTTGCTTCTTAAGAATACACGCCACTGTCTAATAGTCTATGTTACCTTACAGTAATGTTTACCTTGCTTCTTAAGAATACACGCCACTGACTAATAGTCTATGTTACCTTACAGTAATGTTTACCTTGCTTCTTAAGAATACACGCCACTGTCTAATAGTCTATGTTACCTTACAGTAATGTTTACCTTGCTTCTTAAGAATACACGCCACTGTCTAATAGTCTATGTTACCTTACAGTAATGTTTACCTTGCTTCTTAAGAATACACGCCACTGTCTAATAGTCTATGTTACCTTACAGTAATACACGCAATACATACAGCAACTGCTCCTGGTTCTGGGTGTCTGATCACAACCACATCGGCATACCCAGACATCATCATCACAGAATCTGATTGAAAAATAAAAATAAAATGCATGATCAAATTTTGTACATTTTAAAATATGATTAATGCAACTAAACTGTTGCATTAGAGTATCACAGGTAGTCTGACAAGTGAGTTAAACAACTGGTTCCTGGATGGTGGCACTCTTGCTAGAATCCTAGATAGCATTGCAGAGGATATAAGGAAAATCAAGGAGCAACTCTAGGCCTCATTCTCGGTGCTTCAAGGTGTGAAAAGGTCTCCCCCCCCCCCAACATAGACATTACTGAGCAAATAAAAATTATTCTGCTAGACATTTGCATTACTGAACCAGCTAATAGTACCCTCCTTGGTGCCCCCCACTGGCTTGCAGGGAATCGAGGAGGTCCTGGATTCAAATATCACTGACCTAAGGAAGATACAGGACAGGACTGATAAAACTGATGTTCATGATGCTCTCCACCTCACAAGATGCCTATCTCTAAGTTGACTTACTTTCTGAGATGATCTCCAGTCCACAACAGCACTAAATTAAGCAAGTATGACACCCTTTTGAAGTCCATGCTAGAAAAAAGTCCTCAACCTCCAAGTGGATGATGCTTAAATGGAACATGCAACCCTTCCCATCATGGCTGCCCAGACTGCCCTATCAGCCTTTCTTTCCTCCTATGCATCCTATGCATCAAATGACGTTGCAAAAGGAAATGCTCCCAGAGCCTCTGGGTGATTTAGCAAGGATACATATTCCTGTTTTCACTGAATGTTCAAATCAATGGGATGCTCTTGTATCCCCAGCATCCAAACCAGACCCAACAAAACACAGTCCAGCTGGGAAAGCCCCTTAGTGGTGGAAAAAATAGCTGTTGCCATGCTCTAGTATCACAATAGGATTAAGCTTGCATTAAAGTTGTGAGTACCACCCCATGCAGGGGGTCTTTCTTTTGGCAGTACCTATGCTTGAAACAGTCACCTGTCTAGATCCTAGACCCTCTGCATTGCAGTGGCCCCTCTATCTTGATACCTCAATTCCTACTGAATACAAGTGTATTTGCAACAGGGTCATAGCTGACCAATACGGCTTTCATGAACTGCACTGTATAAGCTCCAAGGGCTGACATGCAAGATACAACAGTTTATGACATCATCAAGAGCGGCCTTGTCTCGGCACAGTGCCCAGCAGAGAGGACCTCACATTCTAATGGCCCAAACCCCTGGTGACCCTGTGCGTTGCCTGATGGTATCACAATATACCTGTGGAAAAGAGGCAAACAACTGGTATGGGATTACATGTGTAGCCACTCTGGCTGACAGCTATATACCCATCGGTGCTGAACAGGCAAGTGGTGTGGCCAACCACAGGGAAGCAGTAAAATCAAATGAGTACAAGCAAGTGGAAGGTAGGAACACTTTTGTTCACACTTTTCGTTTGTTTTTGTTCTGAGACACTTGGCCTCTTGGGTAGGGAGTGCCTTGAGCTTTCTCAGAGAATTGGGTTCTAGACTCACTAACACTACCAGAGACACAAAGCTGCCAGTTTCCTGTTTTAGTGACTGAGTGTGGCGATCCAGAGGGGAAACACCAGGTGTGTCCTCAGTCCCTATCTGGATGCTGAGGAGCTCCAGGAGATCCACACACCTTTAATCTGTCATTGTATTCACCAATATGTAGCTTTTAACCTTAACATTTTATAAAATATAATAAATATTACATATATAGTATATACAGATTATAAAATATATAATAATATTTATTATATGACATTATATAACATCCCAACACCCACACAGATGTGAGAAGCAGAAGAGAATGAATTAGGGCTATTCACATATGCAAAAGAGCATTGAGAAATTAAAAGTATCAAAAGCCCCTGCCAGGTGTGAACAGAATTCAATTCAAAATTGTAAAGAAAATGGCCAGTGAATTATATATACCACTTACTGTACTGCTATTCAGAAAATCCCTAAATCGATGAAAAATTCTCCCTCGACTGCAAATACTATATGCAAGTGTCACCACTATCTTTAAGAAAAGCAGACGTTAAGCAGAAAACTATACACTAATCAGCCTAACCTTACACATCTGGAAGTTCATAAAGAGAATCCTAATGCAGGAAATCATTCACTATCCCACAGTACATGTGTTGTAAGAGCAACACATGATTTTGCAAAAAAAATAAATCCTTCCTAATTAACCTTGGGTAAATTAACTTATTGCAATCTGTTTCCTAAAAATCCATAATCCAGGGAGACATAATATATTTACTGCATATATCAAAAGTTGTAAGATATAATGGTATATCATAACACAATGGTACATCATAATATCCAATAACACAATATTGTCCTACCTTCAAGACTTTCACCCTTTTTGACTGAAGACGTGTTAGTGTCCATTGTTACTGTACGTCCACCAAGGCGCTGAATAGCTGCTTGGAAGCTACAGTGCGTTCGGGTTGACACCTCATAGAACATCAGTGCCAACAGCTTGCCCTAGTCAATAAATTATAAAATTAGAGCATAGAAAAGCTGGGTAACAAATTAAAAATCCTGTACAAGCTTAATGAAATTGATATTGTACTTTTAGCTATCTACATCCCTATCCACTAATATCTATTTTATATTAGATATGATATTTGTGTGATACTTCCCCGTATCAACCTACCCCCTGGCTTTGCGCTCTGGAGAGGCCACTCCAGATTGACAACCAGAGAGCAACTCCATAGTCTCCCGAGACTGATGGATGCCTACATTATATAACATTAAATGTAATGAAATGCCTCTTTCTGATTGAGCCCCAGTGACTCCCTGAAACTATTTCACCTAGGTACTTCTCACTACTGGGTCAGATCAATCATAGAAGTCCTGTTTGGCCTACTGGGGACCAAAGTCAGAATCTAGCCAACCCTCACAGAGGCACAAGAACCCGGGGATTTTTATGATCATCCACACTAGGAAAAGTAGCTAGAAAATAATGCCTCAAAACAGCTAAACTACTCTGAAAATGAGTCATTCAAAACTATTGGTTCACTCAAAATTAGCTCGGATTCCCTAATTCAAAATGGCAGGCACCAAGTGACCCAACACTCCCAGCTAGCAACCGGGAGTCCTGTCAGTCCTGTCAGTCCTGTCGCTGATGTTGATCTGTGTAGGTGTGCTTCATGGACTGCCTCATTACTGTAGGTTCCACTTCTTTCTTGGCTAAGTGCCGGTCATCCTTTCAAAGAGGATTAGTGCTTATAACTGAATTCACAGTCTTCGGTGATGCTTTATGTGAGAGAGCATGGAACTATCTCACTCCATAACTGTCAATTCTCACCTTTTCCTTCTTACCTAACTTATACTATTATTAGAAGAGACTTTCTAAATTGGCCGGGGAGGATTTACTAGGCGCAAATCCTTAACTGTAGCCTCTGTTTAACTCGACAGTAAAATGGGTACTTGGTTGTAACAACGATTCTTCGCGGCGGGGATCGTATTCCAGGGACCTGCCCAAAACGCTACGCGTACTAGTGGCTGTACAAGAATGTAACAACTCTTGTATATATCTCAAAAAAAAAAAAAAAAAAAAGTTTTCAATAGCAAGGATTTTGATCTGGGCTAAATATACAGGACCCCGAAGGTGAAAGCAAAATATGATATAAAGTAGAAATTTCCTCAGTCATAATATAAACACTGTAGTCTTTAGTTCTGTGATGATTAATGTTATGGCAAATCCCATTTTTCTTGTTTACTGCTATAATTTTCCAAAATATAACTATTTAACCCTAAAAGGCTCAGCTAATTCAAGTCCTACAATGTGGTGTGCATGACAAAATGTAGTTCACAAAACTAATATAAAAGAAACATTGCATTTGTAGAGTCAAGCACAGGAGGTAATTGCAGATAGTAACTGGAACTGTTTGAGGGTAATTAAGGCAGATATACTCACAGGTCTATGTTTATATACTATGTTTATATGCTTAATTTATTATTAATAAGCTAGCTTAACATGAAAATTAAAACATGTGGTCTCACCTCAAGTAACTTTTCCATACCAGTCTTAAGAGCATGGAATAGAAATTATATTTTAGTTGATACAAGTATAACATATTGATTCTAATTTGCTATTAAACCGAGTTGGTAACACTAAAATATATAAGCAGAGGATGCGATTCATCACTACTAATCAATAAAGACTTCTAAAAGGAACCAAAATTTTACCCTTTTATATAAATCATAAAGAGCTTAAAAATAAATTTCAGCCTTTACTTATTTTTTTACATAATCTTAGACACTCTTACTGTCCCCTCACCCTCTCTCTTACACCCTTGTGTCCCCGAGCACTTGAGATACAGTATACAGTATACATTATACAACCTTCAAAATGTGTTCCAGTGGTCGTTCTTTGTTGATGCACACACGGAATGTTTGGGCCAGGTTGAAGATATGGTTAAGCTGATCCTTACTCAAGCCTTGAACACTCAGAAAATGTTCTCCCTGGAGAAAAGCATTTACCTTAATAACTATGAGAACACCTTTTTCATGAAGTGGTGTTATGAAATTAAAGTTCATGTTTGTGACAATATTAAATTAATATCTTACTTAGCACAATAACAACAAAATTATATTTACTTGAAGTCCATGAGAAGTGACCCCTGGAAGGCCTGAGGGGATGGCTGGCAAGGGACGGACGGGCGAGGTGTCTCTTCCCTTGAGTCGAGATGGGGGCATCTCTTTCCTCTCTCCAAAATCTCCAACTCCTAACTCCATTAACATCTCACTGTACAGTTCTGTGGGTGATTAAACATCTTCAATTTGTCCATAAATGAAAAAGTCTGTGCAAATTATGCTTGTCTCAATTGATGGTTTATGCTCAATGTTTCATTTATTTTATGAACAAGGTAGCAGTCAGGCTATTTCTTCATAAAATAAAATGCTATACCCTGGGTGTAGTAAGCCAGGTCTCGCCCTAATTGGACCAGGATGGATCTCAGCTTAGCCAGGCCAGGGAGGCTCTTGGACTAGCCAGGCCAGGGAGGGTCTCGGCCTAGCCAGGCCAGGGAGAGTCTCGGCCTAGCCCTGACAGGAGAAGGCAGGTTTTGGCCTAGTCAGAACAGAATGTCTCAGCCTAGCTGGGACTGGGCATGTCTTGGCATAGCCAGAAAGGGGTAGGTAGACAGCCTTCATCAGTGTCCTGATGTAGGACAACCTGCAAATGTCCCCTTATGCATCAAGCATAAGGGGACATTTGAATGTGGTCCTGGCTGGTCATACTAATGCAAGGAAGGTACCGTACTGGAGAACTTTCAAACAAGCTTTGAATGATTGCCTGAAAGCACATTATACCAATTTCTGTAACTACTCATTATCCTTTCAAAATATTCATGTTTCTTCTGCTCTACTGAAAGATTAGTAGATCTTTATGTATCTACTAATGCTCTTTGGATGTTCTTGTCAACTAGGGGAGCTGGTGAGAAATGCTTCATTTAAAGTTATAAGGAAGACAAACCAGCACTGTACTCTATATAGAAACCTCGGAGTACAAATAAAGCACAAGCATTAGTACTCACCTGAAGTTCGATGGATATTTTGTCCACCTTTCCAAGATGGAGAATTCAGCTGAGGAGTTGTTACCGTGTCCACTGGTGTCGGAATTTCTCCATTACTTGTAATTTTGTGGCCCCCATAACCTTAATAGGAAATGTATATGTGTATGTGATAAGAATGTATGGGATGTATGTGATAAATGTATAAGAAATTACTTAAGCACTTTTGTGTTAATCAGCACACCATCAGAGGTATGAACATTACAATTGTGTGGAGAGAGATATATAGGCAGGAAAGATACATGTGAGTTGAAAAACAATGGCTTTGTAATATTGGTTCCTGAACATAAGAACAAGAGGAAACTGCAGAAGACCTAGTGACCAAGACGTGTGTTCCAGGAAGTCACGTCCCCTAATGAGGTAACGATACTAATGATCTTACTAAAATCATTTGTAATTGATCAATTAAAATTGGATCTAAATTGTACAACCCATAAATAATGTTCATATTGTATGGCTTCATAAATTGTATTAAAGCAGCTTCAATAATATTTCTATTAAAATGATTTTATAATTTGTTATTGAAGAAGACCTCTCCCAATAAATTTGGTGAGGGTTTTCTGATGAATAAATACACCATTAGATAACTAGCCATTTTTTGTTTACAGAATAATCATGTTGCAAAATTCTAAATTGCAAATTTTTGCATGTTTGACTGTCATAGATTGTATTACAATCCTTACATGACATTCTGTATATTCCACAGAACTGTAATGTTCATACTTCTGATAATGTGCTGATTAACATTAAAGTGCTTAAATAATTTCTTGTTTCATTTGCATTCATGGTTAAACACTGCCAGTATATTATATATATATATACAGTATATATATATTATATATATTAGAGGATATATACACACACACATACACAAATGCATATACATTTCATACACACAAATACTACTTTTGCTCTCTATCTCCTCCTCTCACTAGATGGGGTATCCAGGTCTCTCTCCCCTTCCCTCTCTCCCAATCACCTCTCCCTCAACTCTTATCCCCCTATCCATCTCTCAACTCTCATCCCCCTTCCTCTCACTTTCAACACTCATCCCCTGTATCCCCTCTTCACTTTTCTTCCCTCTTTCCCAGTCTCCTCTTTCTCCTCAGAAAATGTAATATTATGTAGAGGTGAAAAACTGTTAAAACCCCTACAGAAAAGAAATTCTTGATTTCAGACTTTATGAAAATCACTGGGGTTGCTATAGATGCTAATATTTCTTAAAGGGTGGCAGCCATGCATCCTGACTGCCCTATGACACTCCTTGCTCCCTCTTGTGTCATCTTGGGAAGTTGGGGTGAGGCTATCTTGAGGTTATCTTGAGATGATTTCGGGGCTTTTTAACGTCCCCGCGGCCCGGTCCTCGACCAGGCCTCCACCCCCAGGAAGCAGCTCGTGGCAGCTGACTAACACCCAGGTACCTATTTTACTGCTAGGTAACAGGGGCATAGGGTGAAAGAAACTCTGCCCATTGTTTCTCGCCGGTGCCTGGGATTGAACCCAGGACCAGAGGATCACAAGTCCCGCGTGCTGTCCACTCGGCCGACCGGCTCCCTGTCTAGCCCCAAGTGTTTGGCCTCCAACCTTCAATAGACAGACAAACATTCTGTTTCATACTTGTTTGTTGTTTTAGATTCAGCTACTTAGAACAAGAAGTTCCAAGTAGCACGGGCTATGATGAGCCCGAAGTGGACTTGTGTATAGCTTGATTATTCATAGTTAATACTAACTTGGAACAGAATGCTGAGAATGCGAGAGTGGAATGCTCGAGGGATGAGTACAGTGAGGGGCAGGGAAGACCGGACCTCCGGTCACAGACGAGGCCGAGGCAGCCGCAGGAGAAAGTGGCTGAGACTCCCGCACGTCTTCCCCATAGCCAGGAGGCAATAAAACCTGCAACATTAATTATTATAACTAAATTTGCTTTTTCAATTTGCAATAAATTAATGGTATAACCATTTTGCAAAATGTAAGGTGTAAATTGGCATATGTTCCTCTAGTGGGTTTTTTACACGATAACTTTATCTCATACGAAGAATCCAAAAGTTGTCATTATTTTATTTAGTAGCAAATTAATATTATTAAGATAAATATAATACAAAACTAAACTGTAACAAATAATTACACAATAAACCTACCTGCCCATCCACGTAGGCAACTTCTCCTCGAAGCACAACCCTTTGTACACGTCCGGTAACTTTCATGCCTGCAAAAGGCGTCCACTGAGCCTTGCTGAATGGAGGAGCCTCTGGAATAGTCCACTGAGCATCTAAGTCAACTTCTATATAAGTCCTGGGTTGGCGGGGCAGGTGAAAGATTCTCCGTGGATTGTGGTGTAACTTATTTATCAGATCCTAGAATGGAGGATAAGTTTTTTTTTTTAAGAGATCAATATGCAGACACTGAGGGGAAAACCAGCCAAAGTGCTTAACGTTAGCTGTTGTTTACCTTATTAATTATTATAACACTCTTATACAGATTTTGTTTCTCAGTACAAGCACAAGCAGTACTCAGTAGTGTAGCATTGCTACACTAATTTAATAATCAAACCAGTTTGGAGATGTCTCAATAAAACATATTTGCCAGTGTGCATATATATGCCAACTAATACATAACCTCATCATACAGTAAGCAATTAAAAACTATATCAGAGAGGTCCATTGAGTCTTTGTTAACTCCACTACACAGGGCTGCCTTAACAGTATTGTAGGCCCTAGGCCCAATGTAGTGGGACCACAACCCAGATGATGGGCTCTACCCATCCACTAAAGTGCAGGATTACCATCAGATAGCTACACATTATTATAAATGTAATTGAAAATGGATTTGAATCCCAGGCCTTTCCAGGGACTCACAAGTCAAGCCTGGCCTTGGGCCGGGCTTGGAGAGTAGAAGAACTCCCAGAACCCCATTAACCAGGTATCAACGAGGTATCAACCAGGAGAGGTTCAGTAATTATCTTCTCTGCCAAGAGATCTTTCATGAACAATGTGGCAACATGGGCTCTCTAGAATCGTGGTGCCCCTGAGCCACGATCCTGCCCAGTGTGCCCATGTGTTAAAACAGCACTGCCATTGCATCCATATAGATGTGTTATAACCATATTTGCATCACATGAATAAATACTCGGAGATAACTAGAATAAAGATATGAATTAGCACCAATCAGAAAAATCACATATAAATCAATCAATAGAAACCATCCTTTTGTGAAAGAGGGAAAATTCCTACACCATGTTACTCACCTCCATTGATAACCTTCCCTGAGTAACTGCTGTCAGAAGAAGTGGCAGCATGGTCTCTAAACCAGGAAAACCGGGATGTGATTTTGTTCCAGTTTTTTCCTCTAAAGTGTGTGGGGCTGCAAGAACAACAAAATATGATATGAAAACAAATTTATGTGAAGCATATTAAAAATTTAGTTACATTACATTCAAAGCAGCTAAAAATTAAGATTATATTTCTGTGTGAAGCTTGCACAGTACCAGTTATAAAGACACTAGAAGTGGTACCCCTTACAAACACACTAGCCACTCGTGGTCGAGTGGACTGCTTGAAGGGGAGGAGGGAAGGAGGGAGGGAAATTAATAATTTCCGAGTACTAAATGACTTGGCAAACTATAACCCAAATACAAGGGGTAAATGAATGAAATATCAGCAAAAATCGGTATCATTGCCTGTAATCTTTCCTAACTAAGGAATGCTACCGAATCTTATAACTGTTAACACCAGGCAACAATGTCTCAGACAAGCAATGATAACTAATGGTAACTTTTGATTGCTTTCCCCACTCCACAATAATGTACATGTGCTTGTAAGACAGTCCAAAATTCTGTCGTTACCCAAGAAAACACATGTCTATCTCGATAATACAGACGCCTCATAAAACGGAGGCACCACTTTTGCAAGTTTATATTTATAATGAGATGAGAACTCTAGTAGTAAGGAACACTGCAGTAGGTCTACTGGTCAATACAAGACGGATCCTATTTAGATCAAACCATTTCCATTGATGTATCTATCCTTAATATGTTCAATTCTAAACTAAATGGTTAACCTCAATAATGCTAACTGATAATTGATTCTGTTTGTTCACAATTCTACTACATAACTAATATTTTCTAAATATCCTTTTTTAAATTAGAATTGATATAAAATATAGAGATTCAAAACAACACCTGTCATCAGACCATGCTGCAATATAGAGGATGATGTTCTTCATGCCTCAACCAAAAATAGGAAAAATACAAGGGAAGTGAAATTTGTATATATATAAGTAATCAGGAAATGTTAAGAAGACAAAAACAATCTTACCCTGTTGTTGTCCTTGCAGCTCATCTGAGCTGTCTGATTAGCATGAAACAAATTAAACATTCATGTTTAAAATACCAACACAAAGATTTATTTGGATTTGAGGAAAACATTTTTATACAAGTAAAACTATTGAGCCTATTTCTGGATAAAATTTAACTACATAACCTCTATAGAATTTATATTTTTGTATAATGTGAGAATTGGAGGTTATATGAAATTCTATAAATATTTAACAAATAATTACAGAAGCAAATAAAGGTGTCCCAAAAACTTCTATTTACACTATTTATTTACTTTAGAAAATATTGAAAAAATTCAAATATTATTGACTATGAACAAATCCTCAGGTTCATGGCCAATATGAACTTAAACCCGTGTTACAATAGTATCAGCATGTTATTATTTCCAACTTTGTAAGATGTAATTCATTGTCTTGGTAAACGAATACAATAATGAGACATGTATAACAACTTGAGGCTTACCATGATCTGTAGCAAAACAGTCGATAACATCCAAATTATCCCAAAGGGCCTGCTGGTCTTCTTTGGAGACGAGACTTGGCCGTACATCTCCCTTTAATCCTAGGTGTTCTAGGTCATCCGATGTGAGGAAGAGGTGATGAGGACACACCTCGCACGTCACAGTCATTCCCTGTTGATGATGTTACTTTTATTATGCAAATGTCATAGCAATTAAAGTTGCATGAACATATTTGCTCAATATACCAACCAACATATGGTATATATAGTGGTAAAAACCCTCAGAATTACCTTGTCCTTAGCAGAACGAATAAGAAGAATTTCTTCTCTGAGTGCAACGTGACACACATGAATAGGGCGAGCAGCGAGGTGAGCCATCATGAGAGCAGCGGCTGTAGTCCGACCTTCAGCATGGACGCACACTGGCACACTCGACGGCCACGACTCTAAATGCTAGAGAGAAAAACTGAAGTAAGCTGGAAAACTAGACAAGTTTCAATCACATCACAGCTTACTGAGGGAGGTATCCTGGGTCCCCATACCAAGCATATTTCACAATACCAGAATTTTATAAAAAGTCTACCTGAAGTGACCAAGATGGGGACAGGAAACTGTATTTTAAACTGTAACACTGCCATTGTATTTATAGCTTTGGCAGATAAGAGATTCCATGGGATTATCATCCTCAGGTTGAAAAAATGCTTCTCCCTGCCTCTCCCACCCCACATAACACCCTCAAAATCCCCAAATAAGGATAATGTGCAGAGTTTCAAATGCATGTATTTACTATCATTAAATATAACTAATATAAAATATTAAATATAAATGGAGGACCAGGTTACATTTTCCTTATACGAAACAAAAACAAATTCTATTACTGAAATGTGGGGTCAACCCCCCTGTGGCTCCCTGTGGCTCCCTGATCCTCTTCCTCCCTCCCTCCCTCCTTCCCTCCCTCCCTATAGGGTCGTTGAGTTAGTGTCTACAAAAATAAACCCTCGAGTATCAACACTCGGTTACTACTTGTCAGAAAGCCACTCAGGTGCTGGAATCAAGTTAGAAAACTCCAGGAGCCAGATCTATCAAGACCACTCTTCTAACAAAAAGGGAAATACTTTGATGGAAGAAGTGTTCGGCTTGTGTGTGTTCCTACCAGACTCATTCTGGATCATCCCAACATAATTTGGTGTGGTTCAAAGTAAAGATACAGTATCCTTTGCTCTTAAATCTTCATGTATTTGCCTTCTACACTGTTTCCCAGAACATCCTAATAGTGCCATTTTTGTCTTCAAATAATTTGCTGCTCTCTGCAATTTTAAAAACCATACTGTTAAATACCAGCTGAATTAAATATTCCATCGTTCAAACAACTAGAGTACTGTAGTGCTAATTAAATAAAACATTTCAACATTCAAAGTGGTACTATAGTATCATATGACAAACTCACGGATGCATTGGAAGGAAAACATAATGTAGATGTAGTATACACGGACTCTGCAAAAGCATTTGATAAATGCTTGATAAATGCTATCACTGGAGTGATAGCCGACAAAACAAGGTCAATAGGAATAACAAGTAAAAAAGGGCGATCGATATTAAATTTTTTGTCAAACAGAATGTAAAGAGCAACAGTCAATCAAATAAAATCGAGTCCAAGCACAGTGAAAAGCTCTGTACCTCAGGGCACTATCTTTCCACCACTGCTTTTTCATATTTTCATATCAGATATAGATAAAAACACAAGTCACAGCTTCATGTCATTTTTTGTAGATGACATAAAAATCAGTACAAAAATTACTTCTGTAGAAGACACAAACACTGCAAGCTGATATCAATAAAGTTTTCGATTAAGCAGCAAAAAATACAGTAACATGATTTTTAACAGAGATAAATTCCATGTACTTAGGCATGGTAAAAATGCAGACCCTTAAACAAAATACAGGGTAGAAAAATACAATCAAATCTGCCCATAGTAGGAAAGCAGCATGTAAAGGATCTGGAAAAAAAGATGTCTGATGACCTAATGCTTAGGAAGCATAACCAAGCAAATATAGCATCAGCCAGAAAAACGACAGGCTAGATTATGAGAACCTTTAAATCCAAGGATTCCATCAAAATGCTCATACTATTCAAATTACTTGTGTTGTCCCGTCTTGAGTTCTGCTCGATACTCACTTCCCTCTTAAGAGCAGGAGAGATGCTAAAATAGAGAAAATACAGAGAACATATACGGCACGCATAAGATATAATAAAGCACCTAAACTATTGTGATCATCTCAAATGTGATCTCTAGAATGGAAGTGAGAGCAGAATCAAATAACATATACATGGAAAATACTGGAGGACCAGGTCCCAAATTTGCATAGTAAAAATAACAACATACTGGAGTGAACGTTATGGAAGGAAATGTAGAATAGAGGCAGTGAAGAGTAAAAAGTGCCATAGGCCCAATCAGAGAACACTATATGAACATTAGAGGGCCCACAATTGATCAATATCCTCCCAGCAAGTATAAGAAATATTGATGGAACAAAAGTGAGTCTTAAAAAAAAATTGTACAGTTTTCTACAAGAAGTGCTGGACTAACCAGGCTGTAGTGGATATGTAGGCCTACAAGCCATTCCAAGCAACAGCCTGTTGGACCAAGCTCTCAAGTCAAGCCTGGCCTCAGCCTGGGCTTGAGAAGTAAAACAACTCCCAGAACCCTATCCATGTACAATCCAGCACAGAGTGAATACAAAAGTGAAATATCCATACTGGTAGTACAGTATTAGATAATAAACAACTCCTCTAAACCCAATTCCAGAGGGAATTCTAATGCAATCTTCACTCTTGTTAGCAGTTACAACATTAATTCATTACAACTATTGTAATCTTTTCATTTCAAATGAGAAGAACTGCATGTGAAAAAATGATCCTATTATACTAAAATTATTAACACTTTTCCACGCCATATTGATAATTCACTTGTAGGTTTTACTTGCCTTTAACCATGTTGTTGTATCATCCAGCTTTAGACTTGTGAAAGTTTCATTGAGGTACATCTTGAGTGCTGCTGCACGAGGCGCCAACTCTGCCACAGTGGAATGATTGTCACACGATGCCCCCACAAAGATGGCATAGTCACATCTGGCACTTCTGCTTGCAAGCTAAGAAAAAAGTACAAATTACTCCTTGTTCTTCCTAGTCACAAAATGTTAAACTAAAATCTTCAATATATGTGCACAAAGTGTAATACACAATTAAGATAGGTCACAAAGAAACAACAATTCTATGTAAAATGCCAGACTTTAGTCAAATTTTGTCAACAAACATAATCAGAACCGGCAGTGTATTGCTGGAGTGAAGGATGGGGAATAGTGGAGAGGGGGAGATGCAGGTTGTGTTTACAGATAGTGGTGACTGAAAATCCGGCGAGACTGTTCAATACCACACTATACATCATGGATATAGCCTACCTGGTGGACTTGCCCCCTAGAACCCAGAAGGGAGGCTACAGACTGAGTGCATCACCACAGAGAAAGCAAGTAAGGCCAATTGCTAAGCCTCAACTGGTTTAGCAACCACAGATGAGGTTTAGGCCACCAGTAAACTGTCTTAATACAAATGGATTTTAAGACCTGCACGAGAAAAATTAAAACACCATGGAAGCTGTAGCTATTTCTCAACCATCAGGATTGACGTAGGAACAGTAAGATGAGCAGCAGTGCTCTAGTGGGACAAAAATTCCCTTCCAAGACCAAAGGGGCAAGACATTTCTGAAGGAAACATACAAACCTATAATGTCTATAGTCATTTACTCGAACAAGACTGTTGTATGTTCAAAAACCCCTTCTGTCGACCTCTTTTCACATTCATGAGGTTCAGTAACTTATAAGCTTCTCCAAAGGGTGCCAGATTAACCACTGATTCCTACACAAGACTGTGCAGCAGTCCTTCAGTCTGGTTGACCAGGTCTTCAACCAGGAGGTCTTCGTCAGGAGGTCTTGGCTGCATGACATTGATCACAGCCAAACAAACCTTATAAACCTGCTCACATTTCTGGAAATGGTAACCAGCTATCCAGACAAAAGACGCCCAGTTCATTCAGTATACGTGAACTTCGCTAACCCTTTTGATAAAGTACCACATGATAGTCTGGCAAAGAAATTACAAGCACAATGTATAAACGGTAGGATGCTAGAATGGATAAAACAATGTTTAAAACAAAGAAATCAAAGGGTCGTCCTAAATGGAAATTAACCTGACTGAAGAAATGTGTAGTGAGGTTACTGCAAGGTTCCATTTTGGGACCAACCCTTTTTGTGATATACAACAGTGACATAGATGAGAATATTACAAACTACATCATCAAATTTGCAGATGACACTATGATTTATGATAAAGTAAGAAGTGTCAATGATATTGAGGCCCTACATGAACTTCTGCAAGTGGTCAGAAGACTGGCAAATGCTTTTTAATATCAAAATTGAAAGATCTTGCATGTGGGGCATAATAATGCCCAACACGACTACCAAATTAACAACATTGTCTTACAGCAGATTGAAGAAAAAAACGTTGGGGTCAGAATTCACCAATCACTGAAAGGTGCACAACAAGTAGGTGCTACAGTAAAAAAAAATCCTACGAATAGTTAAACGAACATTTGACTTTAAGGAAAAGAAGGTATTACTCTCCATATTATACAAGGTATTACTCTCCATATTATACAACTGAATAAATCACTGGTGTGCTCCATCTGTATTATTGTATCCAAGCATAGAGACCTTATTTTCAGAAAGTCGTTTCAACTTAGGAAACGTTCAATGCTGAGCGACAAAACTCATTCTTGAACTAAGTCGACTCTCATACCAGGCACAGTTGAGAGTTACAGGGCTAACACCATGGCAAGCCAGACATGACAGATCTAATCTCATTGAAACTTTTAAAATACTGAACAATTTGGAGGCAATTGATCCAGACCACATTTCAAAATGTCAGATATAATACAAACAAGGAGTAATGGCTTCAAGGTCAACAAGCCACGATGCAGGACAGAACACAATGTCTTTTACACCAATAGGGCTATAAACCCATGGAACTGCCTATCCATCAATGCTATTAGAGATTTAACTCTTTACACACAAAACACTTCTGTGCAGAATAATGCAACTTTTGTAAGTCATTCGTACCTCCTTGGTTAGTGTGAAGGCAGCCAAATCTGTCACAGGAGGTTGTGTGTTCGGCATTGCACAGATGAGGGTGACTCCTCCAGCCAGAGCAGCAGCGGTGCATGATGCCCAGTCCTCCTTGTGAGTACCACCTGTTAGCACAACAACGGTTACTTGTACAATAAAATAAGTTCCATCAAATTACTTGGTAAAGGATTCTAAATAAAAAGCTCCTTTTTCAGGGTACATCAGTGGCTCCCTAAAGCTTATGCACTGGTATTCCTGGGCCAATACTATCTCATCAGTTGTCTATGGACTGATTGATTTATATACTGTATATACAAGAAGGTACACAGGGTTGTGAGAGTACATAATATTGTTCTTACATTCCTGCAAAGCCACTAACATGCATAGCATTTCAGACAGATCCTTAAGTTAATAAAGGTAAGATTATTAATAGGTACATTGTAGTAAAATTTGCATTTACCATAATAACTACAATATAAATTGATGGAAGTAATTACACTGGTGAAGTTGCATATCATACTAAAATTGGGGGAGTATGTAGCACACAATACAGTGTGAATTTGAAGTACCTGTACAAGGTATGAACCTATGAGGTTGAAATTAGGTACTTTTTGGCTTTACTTTTGAGTAAGCATAGGTGGGGACAATTTTTTAATTCATCTTATGGCCTATTGAAATCAGAGACCGGAATATGGCCGATCCCGTCTTAGAGGTTGAGCTGTGAGGGTCACAAGACACTACAAGTTAAGGGAAAACCCACCAAAAAGTGAGTCTTTGTGAATATTCTATTCATAATATACAATGCAGATTTATATTACATTCACAGTTATAGTAAATAACTTTGCTCATCATCATATACTAGTATAAGAGGAAAAAATAATTGGGAAAATAGTAGGTTTAGGTGGAGGCCTCACAAACAAGGAAAACATCAACATTTATTACCCAAAAAAAAAAAAAAATCAGTGTTGATGACAAGACCACACACTAGAATGTGAAGGGACGACGACGTTTCAGGACGGACCAAAACCTCGTCGTCCCTTCACATTCTAGTGTGTGGTCTTGTCATCATACTTTAGCCACGTTATTGTGACTCATCGCCTGCAAATCAGTGTTAAACATTACATAATTACCTGGCTCTCTGACATGCACATGAACATCGATGAGTCCCGGTAACTTGACAATTCTGCGAGACGTAACACAATCGACATGAGTCTTCAGGTCGGGGGCTCCCCCAATCAGACGGAGAGCCTATAAATATTAACAACTTTTAATGCTTAAATAGACTCGAGATAAACTCTCCATATTCAGAGAGAACATTTGCCAAGGCAGACAGAAAAGTGGCATACTGTATATGAAAGTAAACTACCATTATGCCTCTCCCCTATCATTACTGTTAAAACAATAACTGTTCCTAATAATTAGGTCTGATTTGAGAAAAGTCCTGAACATCAAAAATGCTTGAAAGCATTAGTATTACAAAAATTATATATTTAGATCCCATATGTGTACTGTATCTTTAAAGCACTGCAAAATGTCCACTAGATTATGTGTTGTAATAATTGCGAGACTCAGACTGGGCTACCATTACCTATAGCACGAATCTGCAGTTAACAAGCCTCCCCAATTCTGACTCTGTATGTAAAACTGTAAAAAGCATTTAATTTAAGATAATATAACAGTAAATGTATAGCGAGTACATTTTTGCAGTATCTTTATACGTCTAGATTTAATTACATTCAAAAGTAAATCAAAGTTTATTAAGGTCTCAATAGTACAGTCAGGTTCATTCTTGACTCACAAACGAGAATCCTGGGTTCGAATCCCAGGTGGGATTCAGGGAGCCGGTCGGCTGAGTGGACAGCACGCTGCACTGTGATCTTGTGGTCCTGGGTTCGATCCCAGGCGCCGGCGAGAAACGGGCAGAACCCTATGTCCCTGTTACCTAGCAGTATAATAGGTACGGGTGTTAGTCAGCTGTCACGGGCTGCTTCCTGGGGGTGGAGGCCTGGTCGACAGGACACTAAAGTTTCTCAAGAGCAGAAATGGAGCATGGTTTCCTATCGCCTAATGCACCTGTTCACCTAGCAGTAAGTAGGTACTCAGGAGTTAGTCAGCTTATTGTCGGGTTGCATCTTGGGCGAGGTCAGTAGTTCAACATTGGGGGATAACCTTGAGATAAGCCTATCTTATATATATTAAGGTTCCTGGTAATACAGCTGGGCTCATTTAAGTCTCTCAATCAGGAATTCTGGGGTCAAATTCCAAGTGAGACAGAAATAGTTGGGTGCATTTCCTGTCACTTAATGCCCCTGTTCACTGAGCAGTAAATAGGTTCCCAGGAGTTAGTCAGCTTGTCGGGGGGTTGCATACTTGGGAGGGATAGCAAATCAACCTTGGAGGGATCTCAGTATAAGCCTAATATGTATATATACACTGGCTGCCTGTCCTCAGACACAATGAATTATTATTTCTATTATACATATATATTCAGGCAGCCTGTCTCCAGCAAAATGAATTATAATATTTTTTGGTAAACATGGGTTTAATAAATCAGATATTACTACTATATACAGTACATAAATAATCATATATACAGTAATTGTATATTCAGTACAATAAATAATAAATAATACAGTACTGCGTAGCTTAAGAGGATTGCAGACATAACTAACATGAACTTACTTGGGGAAATATATTATAACAACAACATTAACAATAATAATAATAATTAATAATAAGAATAATGCACAAAGAAATCACATTAATGTGATGTATCAATGAGGAAATCGGTAGAAGCCATGATGAGGAGTCAAACCTTCACACTGGGTACCCCCAAGCATACGCCCAAAACTACTCAGCCATGGCATGCCCAAAACCAACGTAAGCTATACCTATACAGCGCCTATACCACAGCTAGAGTGCATGCAGGCAATGTGTGTGAAAGGATTAGTGCGAGGCAAGGGTGCGAGGATTACATGATATGTAATGTTGAAGACATTAATATTAACTCTGGTTGAGCCACAGGACTGGGAACAACAAGTGATACCCATAACTGCCCACATGTATCTATATCACCATCCACAACTGCCCACCCATGCCCATGGCTGCCCCACACTCACCCACAACTGCCCACAGTCACCCACAACTGCCCACAGTCACCCACGACTGCCCACACTCACCCACGACTGCCCACATGCTTCTCCTAGGAAGTGATGTGGTGGAGGCTGACTCCATACACAGTTTCAAATGTAGATATGATAGAGCCCAGTAGGCTCAGGAAACTGTACACCAGTTGATTGACAGTTGAGAGGCGGGACCAAAGAGCCAAAGCTCAACCCCCCCACAAGCACAATTAGGTAAGTACATACTCACCCACGACTGCCCACATTCTCACCCACGACTGCCCACACTCACCCCCTGACTGCCCACACTCACCCACGACTGCCCACACTCACCCATGATTGGAGTCTTCTTGATACCAAGGTATTCTGAAGCTCACACCATGATGAAACATATCACGTGATCAATGTGTGGTGTAATCAAATACGTCAGTGATAACCAGAGCTGATTGCCAGAATCCTGCTATCTCTCACGTGCATACTCACACACACAGACTCAACTCATACCCACTCGTTCAAACTCACTCACACACTCAATCTCTCACATATGCCCAATCTCCCTCACAGACATCCCTCTCATGCACATACTCAATCTCTCACATATGCCCAATCTCCCTCACATACATCCCTCTCACATATGCCCCAATCTTACTCCCATACATCTCTCTCACATATGCCCCAATCTCACTCACTCACACTCTCTCACATTTGCCCAATCTCACTCACATACACTCTCTCTCTCTCTCTCTCTCTCTCTCTCTCTCTCTCTCTCTCTCTCTCTCTCTCTCTCTCTCTCTCTCTCTCTCTCTCTCACATATATTCTTTCTCTCTCACATTCTCTCTCTTTCTCTCTCTCTCTCACACACACACACACACTCTTCTTATAATGTTGGGGAATATGCTGCATTTGCAGTTGCCTTTTATCAACATGCTGTGAGCTAAAATTCAGGCATTGGGGCTTTGGAGGTTTAAAGGGATCTTGGCATCACTGTATTTGGTCATTATCCCTGGGGGCCTCATCCTGCCTGTGTTACTTTAGGCCATTTCTCTCAACCTGTTTCACCTTCGCCATAGAACCTGCCATCTCTCCTCCTCGCTGGTATGTTCCTTGAGTTTCTTCTCCATGGTTAATTAGCTTCAGGGAGTCACAAGGGGTTCTACCAGAAAACCAGCATTGAATGTAATGAAACGTCTCTTCTTGGATGAGCCCCAATGGTTTCCCGACACCCACCCTACCATGTCATTGTGGTTGGTTTTCCGTCTGTCCCAGAACTGGCTTGGGAGGAAATCGAGGAGCTCTGGAACTCCAGGCCACATGGATTAGGGGTTGCTGGTGCTAACGAGCTAGAGCTACTTTTGAATGTGTCAATCGTTTCTTGACATACTCTAGGGAGTTAGTTTGGCAAGTTTTGAGGCTTCAGGTCTGTTGAACCCAGCAATGATTTAAAGTGGTGTACTGACTTGCTGGATGCTTTCCCAGTGAGGTGGTAGAGTGTCATTTGCTCCCTGTGCCTCTGTGAGGGAAGGCTCGGTAGGCCAAACAGAACTCCATGACCGACGTGACCTAGTAGTTGAGAGCCATATCAGCGAGATAGCTTCATGGAGCCACCGGGGCTCATCCAGAAAGTAGTGTTTTTATTACAATCAACACTGTTTTTTCTTTTAGATTTGGCATAGGAATTACAAATTTGTCAATTTTAGGAAGTTATAATCACTCTACTAACTGTTAATTACCTTTTAGTACACTTGCACAGGTACTGTAATATATAAAATGAAAACAAAAGTAGATATCGGTTTGAATTGTGGAGTAACCCTCGACAAAGAAAGTAGCCACTGATTCACTTAAAACAAACATACTAAAATTGACATCTCTACAATGGATAAAGAATCAGACTTACTTCTACCAGGAGTTTGGCACACTTAACATCAGTGACAAGAGGGACGGAGAAGTCAACAGCCATGCGGCGGGTGCGATAACCCTGAGTCATGAAGGAGGACACCCGTCGAGCACCCCCTCCTCGCATAGGCAGGTTAATTACCAGATCAAACTCCTGGTACACAAAATAAAAGATTTGTTAATTCAATATTGTAAAGTCATTGCATAAAAAGTGGCTTCAACTGCTTTACAAAACTATCAATGTTTTACTTGAAAGGAAAAAGTTTATATATGATCTTTCCAAATTTTCCTCCTAGAAAAGCTAGACAACGGTCAGTAAACGTTTAGCAAGATCATCTTGAATGTGAAACCAAGAAAGCATAATGGAAGTACATATACCCGTATGCTGTAGATTAGTCCCTGCAGAGTCAGCATGAAAATGAAAACTCATGACATTAAGAATAATAAGCAGCAAATCATAAACCAGAATACACGTGTTCCTATCAGGTACCAAATCCATATTCTTACAAATACATAATTTTTCAGTCACCCATTATGGATATAGTGTATAAAATAGTCTCTCATATATCCTACAGTATATACTTGATGAAAGACTTTAGCTGTAGTGTTTAGTATTAGTAGCACTCTCACAAACTGTTTGTATTTTAATCACCATACACCACCCCTCACCATACACCATCCCTCACCATACACCACACCATACACCACCCCTCATTATACTAACTTATGGGAGGGAGGGGGGGGGGTAATAAATAGGCATAAAGTGAAATAAAACTCTTTACCCTTGAAAACTTCCCCAGCCAGAGTCTACCAAGATATAGTTTATGTAAATCTGCTTGACAAGCACATTAGGAAAGAAAACTAACGAAACATCTCAATGGTTTTGATATTATATCTATGATCCATTACTACCAACCACAAAATAGAATCAATAAACATAAGATTAAATGACCTTAGATTTCTGAGTTAAATGGTAACAAAATATCTTGAAAATTTCAAAATAAGGATGTAATATGTGACCTTTTACCTAACAACAGCAAAATCATGGTTGCAGTGGTGGTGGTAATGGTGGTAATATGGCCATTTTTTTTTTTTTTTTTTTTTTTTTTTTTTTTTTTTTTTTGAGATATATACAAGAGTTGTTACATTCTTGTACAGCCACTAGTACGCGTAGCGTTTCGGGCAAGTCCTTAATCCTATGGTCCTTGGAATACGATCCCCTGCCGCGAAGAATCGTTTTTTCATCTAAGTACACTAGAGATTTTGTAGACTACACAAGTTTTCATCTAGTACATTAATTGCAAATGCCATGGTTTAATTAGGTTTCGATCTTGCCAGTTGGTATTGTAGAATAGTATAGGTCTTTAGGTCAAAATATGAGAATTTAGTACAGTATCATTTATAATTATGCTCATATCAGCAACCAATATCAATGCTAAAATTATGCACACAAGAAACTAACCGAGAGAAATTGATCTATACACAAATACACATTTTTACATAATCATTTAACTGTTTAACACATCACTGAAGAAATTAAGAGAAGCATAAATAATTAAGGTCTGTATTCTAAAGTTACCCAAATGAATTAAAGAATTTACAAGAACAATTTACAATTTTACAAAAACAAGAACAATTTACAAGAATGTAATTACTATGCTATGTATCCTCACAATCCCAATGTACCTTCTTGTATATATATAAATAAATAAATAAAAATAAATAAATACTGTAAATATATAACAAAGGCTGAATGGAATATTCAAGAAACATACTTTCCTGGCAAGGTAATCAGCCATGGAAGAGAGCTGTCCCTTGGTGGCTGTTTCTCCAAAGTTTTCATAGGCCCATTCTACTGGCTCCACCTGCAAGAAACAAAATAATAATATAATAAGAATGCATTAGCGGGAAATCATTGGAACACACTAATTTGTGCATAGCCAATTTAAGCTTTCACTGTATGGGAAAAATTGGGGGTGTATCCCAAAGTTTTTCCTAACATAGCCAATTCTCCAATCCACTCCAAATAATTAAAAAAATACAGTATAGTATATGTAAACATTTTTTTTTTAGACACAGTACCCCTATGACTTCTCAACCACGACTATACCCTCATAAATCCTTACAGTCATATAAAGGAATTTTGGTTTATAAGAAAAAGTACATAGTGAAGATGAGGGGACATGGGGAAAATGAGGGGAAGAGAGGAACATGGGAGAGATGAGGGGGGAGGGACAGGGGAAAGATGATAGGAGAGGGGGGGGGGGTCTGACTAGGCAACAAGCCAGACAAGCCAAATGATTTAGTTGGGCCTCAATGGACCACAAATTTTACTTCTAAACAACCCCAAAAGAAGTGTGTTGTCCCCTGAAGTTGCAGCTGCTGGGTTTGCTCAATGTCCAGTTAAAGGAAAATTGATAATATATTGGTCCCCATGCACGTAAAACACATTGGCGGCCAAGCCCCCAAGTCGCATTTCACTTGTGCACTATCACAGTTGAGAGGCGGGACCAAGGAGCCAGAATTCAACCCCTGCAAGTACAACTAGGTGAGTACAGTAGGCAGGAGAGAGGAGCAGAATCCACCTAAACTGAGGGAAACATACAAGAGTCCCCCTCACAACATCAAGGCAGCACCCTCAAAGGAATGTAATTATATTAAGTTATCATAATTCATATTATTTTACAATAATACTTCATCTTTTATTCTGTCTTCAACAACGTATGTAATTGAAATATTTATGAATACCAGAACAAAATCTTTCCACATTTATTAAATAAACAAATTTTTTCCTATAATTTACAGATAAGGTTATATCTAATCCCATTTTACTGTGATTAATGGTTACCTAATCACTTGTGACGTCACCATCTATTATTCACTTTGGCCTGATAGCAGAGGAATCTGCTGATCGAGTTATCTTATCTACCTCCGATAGCAACAGATATTTTACTGTATTTACCATACTCCACTTATTATTACTACCATTGGGTATCTAAGGTACCAAATGCTAAATCTCTTTCAACTTTTCCAGTAAACAGTAGTTGATGCAAAAGAAAATGTTAAAGGTTTCCAAAATTTGGCTTTATGCAGCCTCTCACCAGTGACAATCACCCTGGCGACAAGAGATAAGGCAAGGTAAAGCTGGGTGATCCCTGCCTTCCACTACACCAAGACAGTCCTCTTCTCTCTAGTGCCACACCAACTACTCACTTATATGGTGCTCCTCAAGAGTCTCCCAGACGGAAAATTTTCCAAGACGGCAATATCCAAGGGATGAATTACCGGTATATTTGACGATAACATCCCCCTACCCCAAAACAAAGATAGGGGGTTGTTAAAATTTGTGTGGAAGAAATCATCTGCTTCTCTGTTGTTTAAGGTTAGTGTAACTCTTCCTGTCTTTATACGAATGAGACTCTAATGGACTTAAACAGAGGGAAGTTTCATAACAAGGTAAAAATATAACTTCTTGGGTTTCACCCCTCAATAATCTGCCAGTGACTTAGCCTTTGTGATCTTACAATGCCCAAGATTTTGTTCAATGCATATTAAAGCTGAACTGAACCTGACAACCTGAGCTTGGAGACTCAAACAAAACTCGTTATGTAGTGGGGATTTTAAGAGGGAGAGAGAGAAAAAAATTAATGCATAAACGTATGGGATAAACCAAATTGGTTATTGGGATTTATTTCTAGAAGCATTAGCAATAAGACATCTAATGTTATTCTTCAGCTTTAGCTTGCTTCTGTTAGGCCCAATTTAGTTTGTGGTTTCAGTTCTGGCCTCTGTATTATAGAATGGGTACAAATTCACTTGAATGCATACAGACAAGGATGGAAAAAGTTAATTCCAGGAATTAGAAGCCTATCTTATGAGGGGATTAAAATAAAATTAACTTACTTTCTATAGAAAGAATAAGGTGACATGATATATAATAAAGTGTGTGTGGAACAATGGTTTGCTCAAATATACTTGTGTCACTAATATGCACACCATATTATATTCTTAGAACAATAAAACATACTTCTTTGCTGTTATTACACTTATATACACTTTATATATAACTACGGTATCTACACTTTTATGCATCACTGATAACAACTAAGTACGGTAGTTCTGGTGGGTGTAATAATCTTGTAACCAGTGATCAGAGTTCACCCTAGCCCCCCACATATTTTGCACGAAGTTGTAACAGTAAGCATTGAATATGTTATATTTTCTTCATATTTTTAATGTTTTAACCATGCTCTTTTCAAGGGAAATGATGCAATGGACTGTAAATAATATTATTTGCATCACAAAGTATAAAACACAGGCGCATACTGATATATTTCTGTAACTAATAGGCACAGATATTCTTTACAGTATTCTTTAAACAACAAAACACTGTTTTTGCTGTTATTACACTATATACACACATTATATAACTGACTATCTACTTTTTATGCACCATTATGAACTTCTAAGCAGTTCTGGTGGGTGTAATAATCTGGTAACCTGCAATCAGAGTTCGTCCTAAGCTCACATACAATACTGTATTCTGCAAAAATCTGTAACTGCATGCATTGAATATATTATATTTTCTTCATATTTTTAAAGTTTTTACCGTGATTTTTAAGCAAAATGATGCATTAGCCAGTCAATAATGTTATGTATATTTGTATCACAGAATGTGTAGAACATAGTAACATTAATATATCTGTGTGTGTACCTAATACAGTATGTGCCCAATATTGTATTTTTTTTTAAATAGAGCATACTACTATTGCTGTTATTACATTATACATACCGGTAACTATTTTTATGCACCATAAGAACCACTAAGCCGTTCTGGAGGGTGTGGTAATTTTGTAATCCATGCACAGCATAGCACCACAGGCTAGTCAGTTTCTGACAGCACCCTGACACAGCAAAATGCCTCCCAATATACACTGCACATTGCTAACTCTAGCCACAACACAGTTATTATTATTATCAGAATCCTGGTCACTAAATATTAAATAATTTTCAACAAGTTTATTTTCTAAAGGAATATGAAGTACCATTTTCAAGACATGAAGGTGCACCAGACCATGGAGTGTGTATTGTGGTTGTCTGCCTCATACCGTTAACATCATAACCAGCATTGTGTTCACCGATATATGAACATTGTACATAGATTTGATCAGAGTCAGGATCTTCTATGACACTATTATCATTAAATAATTGCAGTTACTTGTTTATTTCATCATTATTAAATGATGCTTTGGGCACAAACTTCATGGCAGTGCAGTACACGTAGTTCATGACTAATTAGCGAGAACATAACCAAGCAGTGTCGTGCAGTGGAGAGGTTAATATTAACAAGAATGGTGGAAACAATAAGATGCTGCTAAGTACCATTAAGAAACGTTATTTTTTTTATTATGGGGGTGAGTCGTTAAGGATTGTTACCTGCAGGGTTGGTAAAATCCAAAGGTTTTTATAAAACCCAGGTTGGGTTTTTATCTGTTTAATTAACAGATAAATAATGCAAGTTTAAATTTAAATAGAAATAATTAAGTTGATCCAATACAAAGCCATCAAAATTATTTAAATTAAAAGACCTTGGCGAGTAAGTGGGTAGCTACTGTACCACGCCAACCCTGGTGTTAAGTTGATGACCAAACTACACATCAGAAAATGGAGAAACGATGACGATTCAATTCGTCTTTGACCGGTACCAAGGTTTATGATAGTTAATGGTGTTTATAAAGTGTTAAACTATTTACAGATAGTTTATAGTTTAACTATCTATAGATAATAGTTGAATGGTGTTAAGTCATTCAGTGGTTAAGAAATGTTCTTGGCTCATAAGGTTAAAGATACATACCAATAAATTCCAACAGATCTTACCCTCTTTCCTCATATTCTCACTTTTACTTCTGCTTCTCTACATCCTATTCTCCATCCATCCCTGTCTCTTGCTCTCTCATTCATCCTCCATTTATTCAGTGTACAGGGTCTCCATCAAACCAAACACAGAGCAGGACTACCCTGACCTGGAGTAGTGGCACTGATAAAACATGCCTATTATCAAAGTTATGATAACCTAAATAGAAAAAGGCTGTCAACACAACAACACACAACTCTTCATAGCCCTCATTTCCTACTTTCACTCCATCCCAAATACAACAATATAATTGTATTTTGCCTAAAATGCTACACATTTTACAGGGAACACAAATGCATTATCATCATTACAGTGCATTGGCACATACAGTGGTCTTCATCCTCCACTCACAACCAAAAAACCCAGGTTTAATTCCCAGGCAGGAGAGAAACAGCTGGCAAAATTTCTTTTCTGATGATGCGGATGTTCACTTAGCAATAAAATTGGTACCAAGGAGTTAGGCAATTGCTCTGGCTAGCATACCAGGAAAGGTCCATAGTTGGCTTTGGGGGACCTCAATAAGCCTAAATACAGGCTTCATGTCCATGATACAGTAATTGGAATTATATACAATCTTGTAAAGCCAAGATTGTAATTACAATCTTGTAAAGCCACTAGTACGCGCAGCGTTTCGGGCAGTGATACCCGAATGATCTAGATAAAATAATTCCTTGTGAATATTTGCTAAGTGATGGAATGCAGAATGTGAAACTAGGCCATATTCATCTTACAAATTAATGAAAAGACGGTAAAGAACTCGCACAGAGATCTATGGTGTTGGAACATAAAGAGATGTTCCTATGCTATTCTGGTAAACTTAATAATTGCATTTAAATTCATTGATGAAGAAATGATAAAGAAATTGTTCACAATATATGCGAGACCTGAATTAGAACAATCAGCAGTTATATTATGTCATTAACTCAAAGCATATCAATAAACTGGAAAAAGCACAAAGACAAAACAAAATGGTTTTGAACCTAAAACACCAAGTTATGGCACAAATAGTGAACAGAAAGAAGAGAGGAAATATTGATCTGAACAAGATAGTTATCCTGCTTGTAAAAGTTGGCCTATTTTAACTACAGCTATTTGTAATTTGTCGCACAAGTAAATATCTCCCACACTCCTTACATCACCAACCCTCTGACCCAACCCCACTAAAAGGGTAAACACGATCTGGTCTGTTCCAATCGTGGGCGTTTGTGGGTCACTGAGGGCATGTGAGAGTTGCAACTAGTAACTGTCATTTTTCCAGCAAGATTACTCCAATAAACACTTCCTGACACTCACACCCACCTCCGGTCCCAACACACAACATCCCCTCCTGGCACACACCCACTTCCAACACATGACACCCACAACCCCTCCCGGAACCCACAACCCCTTCCGGCCCCTGCAACCCCTCCCAGCACCCACAACCCCTCCCAGCCTACGGGCTCACCATAGCCCGTGCTACATGGACACTTCGTTCCGAGTAGCTAAATCTGAAACAACAACATACTCCCGGCACCCGCGAGTACTCCGGCACTCGCGACCACTCCCGGCACCCGCGACCACTCCCAGCACCCGCGACCACTCCCACTCTCACAAGGAGGAATGGTTTCAAGCTCAACAAGCCACAATGCATGACTGAAAATAGGAGATACCATTTCACCCATAGGGTTAAAATTATTTCAACCTGAAGTTGTAAATGCCAAAATTCAGTTAAATTTTAAAATCCAGCTGGACAAAATTATCAGCACAAAAGGATGGACCTTTGACAAGCCACTAGCTTCCTGTCTTCATCGAGCCCACTAGAGTGTTAGTGGCCTTCGGGTAAATTCAGGTAAATACAGTATGTTAAACATATACGGTATATGAATGAGTTTGGATGAACATAAATAGAAGCTGCTTCATATGGGCCAATAGGCATTTTGAATTAACATAAGAATTAAAATGCAGAAAGTAATAAAGATAATGATGGATGAAGTTCTGCCAGTTTTACCAAAGGAAAATTACTGATGTTAGTGAATAGCTTTCTATTGCAGCAGATTATAAAATATCATAGAATGTAGTTAGTATTATCAGCATAGTATTAACTAGTACTGTACCTGCATTCTGCATGCAGTCACAGCCTTGCTCCTATGCCAGGTAAGTCCACTACGGGCTCACCATAGCCTGTGCTACTTGGAACTTTTTGTTCCAAGTAGCTGAATCTAAAACAACCACCACCTGCATGCAGCAAGGCAGAGAGCTGATAACAACTTGAACTCAAAGATAACAGCTGATATAGCTGAAGTCGATTCACAGATTTGCACATGACAGGTGACATGAAAGTTAAATTTAATTAGATGTACAGTACAATATTGCCTAATATTCTCGAGTTGCTTGTGTCAGAGATCTAAGGGTGGTTCTGAATAGAAAACTGTTGCCTGTGGACCACATAAAGAACATTGTGTGAGGAGCATATGCTACGCTTTCCAATT